TATCAGGTCAACAAAGCATGGGCATAGTAACAATATTTTTATACTACATTTATCCATTTTAAATACACTAACATCACTCATTTGTAACAACTAAAGCAAAAATGTAATTAATTCAGAAAATCTTTTCAGGACCCCACCTTGATGTTTTGGGACACCACTTTGGGTCCCGACCCCAACTTTGGGAAACACTGGGCTAGGGGGTGGGGGGACTAATTATTGAATTTTTATCCAAAAATTGAGGTCTAAGGGTGTTTTTACAGCTGTCTGGTAGACTCGGTTCAACTGGGGACCAAAATTGCAACATTTGTTACATTTTCAACTGGTGTGGTTTGCTTTCACACTGCATTGTGTCGAACAAACCAAACCCTTAGAGCAACCTGTTTACACCTTCCTCTGTGGTGGTGCTGTACCACTGAAGGAAACAACACAAAAATCACTGAAGACACTGAGTGCAACTTCCTTCTTCACGAAATGTAAGCAAAATGGAGTGACATCAGATTTTAGCGGTTGTAAAATTTCTCTTTTGTCTTTGGGAAATGAGCCAAACAAACACACAAGCCACTTTTCCCTGAGTGTTATACACGTGCGTTTGTTTTGTCCAACAAAAAGGAATGGTCGTCCAAAAAAAAGTGCTAGAGCACGGAAACTTCTAAAACATGCAGGGTAGTCTGCCTTGAAGACCAGGGTTGGGAAACACTGTTCTCTTGGGTGACTTGACCCATGTGGGCAATGACAGAGTTATTTGGAAGCAGGTGATTGGGAGTCAGCCTCCCTGATCTGAACCAGAATGGTGTTCTGTTATTGGACTTCTATGATAAACATGGGTTGTCTATAACGAACATCATGATCAACCACAGTGTGGTCAATATGTGTACTTGGTACCAGGCCACCTTAGGCCAAAGATCTGGTTTTGATGATCTGTTCCTGGCCTGTAGAGAGCTTTCAGTTTAGTTTATTTCTTTGCTGCCACGACAGCATTTTGTTTTTTCGTTTGTAATAAAAGTTTTAGTTAAACTTCTGACCTCCGTCTGCATTCTGGGAACCACCTACAAAACATCCAGCCTGTTAATTGTGACAGATGTGAAGGAAATTTACACATTTCCATTGAGTCTTAAATGTGCAGTTTATTTTTCTGCTATGATTAAAATTGTTGTGAACCCAACTAATTCCTGAGGGATTATCTAGTTAAATTAGACACAATTTTTTGACATCAGGACTTCCTTGTAAGAAAATCATGTCTACCAATAAGTGAGGTCTTGTTGCCTCATTAAACTATCATTTTCAGGAGGCATGACTCAGTTCTAGACCCTAAAAAAGGTACTGTGATATGATGAAGAAAAAATAATTGCCATGAGCTGGAGAGAGGACCCTTGTTTTTGTTTGTTGATAAGAGTCTGGGTCACAGACAGGTGCTGGGAGACAGTGTCTCTGAGCAATGAACTGGAGTTTCAAGATCTGGGGAATAAAGCTTTTTAAATGGATAATTCACTTGCTTTTCATTTTTAAAATGTTTTTTTTCTTACAGATGCATGATGGGACTTTTATATCCCTTTTCCACAAGTGCCTGTAGCATTGGTACAGTTCCAAGCCTTTTCCATTAGGCCAGATTCATGGAACCGGCCCTTTTTTTAGTACCTATTTCGTGGTTCCAACCGGCCCCAGCTGACACCATAAAAGCGACGTCAGAACACTGTTCATCACTGATTGGCTAAGTTTTTGCAAATGTTTAAAAGTTAAAAAGTTATTCATCAAATGTATCTCTCATTTTGCCCATTAATTTTTTTTGTAAATACCTAAAAATCAACTCCTCCAACCGCCCAAAACACACCCATTTGAACCAGACTGGAACATCAGTGGAAAACCACCCGGTCCGACCCGTACCGACCAGCACTTACACCGACCGTTCCGACACTAAACCATGGAAAAGAGGCATAAGCTGCGTTTACAATAACAACTCTAGGAGCCATTTTTTCCAATTGTAGCAGTGACATTACTTTTGTTTAAATCCAATTTTTATTTTTAGCAAATTTTTACAATTTCAGAACTTATTCTACAAATGTCTTTCCATCTCTCATTTTGCGCATTATTTATTTATTTTTTTTTTTCGAAAAACCCAAAAACCACCTCCACCAACTGCCCAAAACACACCCACTGGAACCGGACTGGAACGTCAATGGAAAAGCACCCAAACTGACCCGTTCTGACACTACACTAAGTGGCACTACTGGAAAACGGGCGTTCGTTTTGCTACAGCACAGAACAGACAGAACACAAGAAGCCTGACAGCCTTAAAAAATGAACAAATGTACAATTTTAAGTTAGGACTTTTTAAGGCCTAAAATTAAGATTTTTTTTCTTTTGAATTGATGTTTTAGGACCCTGCAGAGTCATTAACTGAGTTAAAGAGTAACTTACCCCAAAATTAACTTTTTTTTAGCTGATAAACTGTCTAGAATGTGTCTAAAATGTTATACAGTACTGTTTCTGTGCTAATTTTTATGTTTTTGTGCGTATTTGTTCAAATCTGTCACATTTGGTCTAAAAATGTCTTTTTGCTGCTCATATGGGTAGAGCAGTGGTACTGCAGGCTAATTTGCATATTGGTTAACGGCTCTCCACGGTGACGTATCTTCTCCACGGTTTCGTCACAGCGGCTGTGTTCTGGTATAAAAGCCTCTCTCTAAGACACGCCCCTGCAGCDGTCAGAGGGTGGAACAGTTAGCAAGCTTAGCATGATCGTCTGTTGACCTTCAGCCTCGGGTGGGGAGAGCTGACTGCTACGCTACTCTCTCTCCCCCTCTCTGTCTCTCTCCACACAAACACACACACACACACACACACACACACACAAAAAGCAGTACGTCCTGCACAGCGGGAGGGGAAAGAAAGGCAGCGGGGCAGTTTCAGCCTGAACCCACACATGTCAACTTGTACAGATTGTCTGTAAGTTATAAGGATTTGACATCATTTTGCAGGTATACGGACATATAGATTAATCTCACGGTTTTTTTTCAAGTCTTACAGATATTTTAAAAACCTCATTTTCAAATTTATCTAACATGTCAGAGCTTATAGGATGATTTAAAAAACAATAAATCACATCAAACAGCCATCTTCCAACCTGTTCTGCTGCTAGAAATAAGTTACTTTTTACTCTCTCCTTTCCTCCTGCTTCGCAGCAGGCGCTTTCATGTCCGCAGCTGAGACCCCGCCCCCTCCTCCCGCGGGTGCGAGTTGTATGGATTTTTTGCAAAATTTATGGATTTTTAGGGCTCTTTATACAGGTAAACGTCCAAAGAGGTTGAAATGTATGCGAACCGGACCGAACTTCAGTCAAACAAGACCCAACACTTTTATTCCTGATTTAAACTAGTGATCTTGTGAGCAGCTGCAGCTGTATGCTTTTATTTTTTTCTGTCAGGCTGTCGGAGCGCTCCTCCTCCTCTGTCCGAGGCTGGTGTGGGGTGAAAATCCTCCACCTCAGATGTTCAGAGATGTAACTATCTGTGATACTGTGGTCACTCTCCATGTAGCATCAATTATGCTAATGCTAGCTGCCTGTCACGTTCTCTCGTCCTGGCCACACCTCCGCTCTCTAACCCCCTCCCCTACCCACTTTGATGCATTTTTCAAATTTTGCCTTGGGGCAGAGTTATCTTTTCACAGAGGGGTAAAATACACTTTAAACCGGCTCAGTTTTTGTCCACCTGTGACATCGCAGCAGTTTAAAGCTTAGCAAGTGTCTCAAAAATGTTTCAGAAGAATTTCTTGTTAGAAATTCAGATTCTTCTCTTTTAGATTACAGAATAAGAAATCGTCAGGAAATAAAACATTATTCTATGCATATTAAAAAAACTGAAATTTCAGTTTACACTTTTTAAAACTGCACAGACAAAAAGGAAACACCACACACACAGAAAGCAGACAAATGGACTACTTACCTTCTGATTTCAATTTCGTCAAAACAAATATTAAATAGTTGTTAAAATCTGGATACTGGTTCAGCTGCTCAAGCCGCTGGGAAAACTGGTTGAGGATCACAACCAAAGACAGGCAACGAGGGAAAAACAGCAGAACTGAGTCTGTAAGTGGTGGTGTAATGTAGCGGCATAATGACAGAGTGTGTGCATGTTTGTAAGAGGTCGTAAATATGTCATTTGGTGAGATTGAACACTGTAAGTGCCCAGCCGGATGGCGTCTTTAAGCTGATATTGTCTGTGAGCTAATGATGAGCCACATACGAGGGCTTATGGTTTATGATCAGCAAGCAGACTTTTAGAAACAGGACAAGCAACATTTTTCTTTAAAGCAAAGACAATAAAGCTCATTTCCATCTAACAATAACATGAGCTACATGAGGACTGGGATAATTAAACAGCATTTGTAGGATGCAGGATGTAGTAAATGTTAGACTGGATGAATATCTTTGATTGAAACTTTCCAGTCATCTACTCTCTCTGTATGAAGCTTAGTGTCAATAACATTTTAATGATAGACCACCGACATATTTAACGTGGACATATATTTAATACCAGGTGAATGTATGAATACATTGCTAATAAAAATGTTACGTGTTTAGTATAAAAACATGGCTTAAATAAGGAAATATTTCGATAAACACGACTGTCAAAGTGATTATTTAAGTCAAGCACAAATAAAAGCAAAGAAATTGAAGCTACATACATTAGCTTACAATAACTGACTACAGCAATTTTATGTTATGAATGATTAACAACGAGTGTAGACTTATTTACTTAAATTATATGAGGTTACTTGACAAAAATTAATCAAAACAAAGCAGCAGGCTAATCGGGTTAGCCTCAGCGACGGTAAACACCCGGGTTAGCATTAGCTGTCGCTAGCCCGGTGAGCCTGTTCGGTTTTATTCAGCTCTAACAAATATAACGGGGGGGGTTATTCGTGCCGTGTGCGGCCCAGAACAAAGGATACTTGCTGGACGGATCTCTGTGTAGACGTGTCCGGCGACTGGGACTCCTTCAGCAGCTGTAGTATCTGTTGAAGTCCCTGCTCGTCTGGCTTCCACTCACACTCCATCTTTGCTGCCGCGAAGCATCAAATGAAGCATTAAAAGGTTCGTCGGAAGACGGATCAGAGACAAAGACATGGCTGATGCAGAAAAGCCTTTACCTGCGCTCTTTAGGTAGACGTGGTCGTGTGTGGTTGTCTTCTTTTTTCTTGTTGCTGTTGTTGAAGTATGTCTGTCTGGGTTTTCAGACACGGATCCGCAGAGACGTCGGTTCTCCCAGCCAGACGAAATAAACGCTCCGGGTCAAACGAGCTCGCTGTGGCTGGCTGTCAGCTGACTACTCAGCCTCCGGGTCCTAGTGCCCTCCAAGTTTAACAAACACGTCATAATATTCCCTTTCTTTCGCTCGTGTTCAAAACATGTGGATATTCTTATATCTCAGTTTTTGACATCCACGTCCTTCTTCTAGAAAAATACACGTCCTAAACTAGAAATTTAAAAAAAATCATAAAAGGGAGTTAGTGAGAAAAATAATCACTTCCGTTATTGTGTCAGATGGTACCTGAACGCAACACAGCCGCTGAAAAAACAGCGCCCCCTAAAGTTTGTATCAACATAACAAACGCAACATACCAGGTTGTTTCATGATAAATAACTTTTATTTTCAAATTGTTTCATTTTTGTTTAGTAAACAACAAAACAACATTTAAATATCAAAAGGAAAACATTGTATAGGTCCTCTGGACAGGTTCTTCTCTAATGAAACGTTTCATCTCTTCCAAGAGACTTCTTCAGTCTGAGAGTTTCAGGC